ACTCCAAAATATGCCCAGTACCGTTATGAAATTGTGATCCTTTGCCGTTGGACCTGCACCCATTAAAATATTCATTTTCGTGGTCTAGGAGAGAGAAAGGGTGGTGAATAGACCAAATTGCCCCTGTGAGTCATCTTCCACCTCTGTTGGTTAGCCATGGCTAAGTGTTGTGCGCGTTGGTGGGTGGGAAGGTGTTTCGGTCGGGCGCTCTCTGGCCCGCGGAGCTGCAAGCCGCCCCACGTAGCTGCTCCCTCCGTTCCTGTCGCGCCCTTCCCTCCATTCCTTGGACTCACCGACGTCATGCCGGGGGTGGGCACGTCCATGGCTAGAGGTGGGCGGGGCCTCGCCGAGGGCGAGCACAACCTCATCGGGGGTGCAACCATGGCAGACGGTAGGGATAGGTGTGCGGCCTCGCAAGGGAAAGGGCGCGGCCAGGGTAAGGGGACATGGCTGGGTCACGCGGCCTCGCCGAGCGGCGTGTGGCCTTGGTGGCGGTGGTGTGGTGAAGAGCTCGGGGAAGAAGGACGTGCCAGAGGTTGAAGACGAGAGCAGTTTAGACATTGCCCCCACCTTCTCTCTTCAAAACTAAAAATTGAATTAAATAATCGGTGCGGTGTCTCTTGGCAAAGAACCACGAATTTGTAATGTGCGCCAACAAATTTTGACGTTGGTGCTGTTCACTAGCCAATTACATGTTTCTCTGATGTCCCATGACAAAATTTCCCGAAATATTAAGATAGTGTGACACACACATGAGCCAATCTTAGAAATAAAGAATTGAAGAATAAAACAATATACCTAAATAGGAGCAGGCATATCGTAATGTTGCTATGCATTAAAGATTAGCAGATGATCATACAAATGTATGGTTAAGACTTAGTTCTAAGCATATAGGCAACCAGGAAGACCAAACGAGCACCGGTATGCCAGCAAGCGCGTGAGGCAATTTTGACTCATACACTGTACTCGAACGTGGGGAATTACGAAGGATAGACAAGGCCGTTACCACCTGCCGCCTACCCCTCAATCGTGGAATACAGTCATATTCATAGGTTTCCTCCTATACTCGAGCACCACACCCATGTATATAGAAACTATCTAAGTCCCCCTGGGACTCCAACCCTACAGATCGATAAGCATAGGACAAGGGCATACCTGAAGGCACAACGAATTGCCACCGTAGCTTAGATCTTAGTCTAAACATATATATTGTATGAATGATTGAGCATGGAGATTCGTATTCTAAACTAATAACATAAGAACTTAGCTCTAAAACATAAGCATAACTACATTAATATATTGAGAGCATGGACATAGGAAAACACTTGACATTGCTCATACCAAAGATCTCCAAGGTGTTCAAGCTCTTCAACAATGTTCTTGCCTAGCTCCAAACAATACTACTAAAATGTAAAAGAGTACAAGAGTAGAGGGCAAGAGGCTCCAAATGTGTGGTGTGTTGAGTGAGGGGGGAGCCTCACTAGTACATAAATGATTTTTAGAGGCGTCTCCCTTTTCTAACAGAAGCGGTTGTCTTAGCACGCCGTCACTAACATTCACGGGAGTTACTGTAGCTATACAACCGTTGCTAGAAATCAATTTTTAGGGGCGGTTCTATTAAGAAATCCGCCTCTCCTCTGAAAATGCTATTTTCAAGAACGGTCGCTTATGTCAACCATTTTTGAAAATGAGTGATTTTTAGAGGCGGTTTTATTAAGTCAACCACCTCTGAAAATCGATTTTCAAGGGCGGTTGACTAAGTCAACCATCCTTAAAATATAGTTGTAGCACAAATAAATTCGTATCTTTTCTAAATGAAATCAGATGAAGACAAAATTTATATTAAAATTGAGCTCGACGAGATCTAAAACTTTGTAGTTCATAAAATTTTTGTTTGAGATCATTTACGGTTCCAAATATATAAATTAAGTCTTGGATTTTGAATTTTAAATTTTTGAAATTTTCAAATGACCTTGGATGGAGAAATGTTCTATATCAAAGTTGTAGTGTTCGACGAGATCTAAAACTTTGTAGTTGAAAGATTTCTCATTTAAGGTTGTTTATGAGTTAAAATATTGATTACAAGATTCATACATATTAGTACAAATAGATAGCATCGTAAAATTAGACATAAGTGACTGTGTGGTTCGGTGGTAGGGGAGGGATCGCGTGAGGAAGAGGTTGTGGGTTCGAATCCCGGGTGTAGGCACTTATTCAAAACAAGTGAAAAATAAATCTTGTGAGCTATGGCCGGTCCTCAACCCTTCAGGCTACACCAGATTTTTTTTCTTATTTTTATTACACTCTAAACGGTTTTTAAAAGATTTTGAAAAATATTTTTAGGGATGGTTGACTTAAGTCAATCGCCTCTGAAAATCAGGCGGTTGTCATAAGTCAACCCCCTCAAAAAATTAATTTTTAGAGGCGGTTTTAAAACCACCTCTGAAAATCACTTATTTTTACGATCGCTGGCATAGTAGCGGTTTTTAAATTGTATGTGAAGATTACTTTTGACCGTCTCTAAAACTGTTTTATGTACTAGTGCCTCTCCCTCTTTATACTACTCTAAGGATAGTTTCTAGGGAATATTCCACGGAGATTCGCCCGAAACCGCCTTGGAGCAGCGCCGAGGGGCCGCCACATGGAGGGACGAAGGAGGGCGGTGCGCCAGGGGGTCTACCGCCTCCGGGCAGTGCCTCTCCGCAACCGCCTTCCTTTGCTCGATTTGTTGCAGGGCCTAGGCGCCTGTCCCTGCAGGGCCAGATTCGTCAGGTAGTGGGCCTTTTCCTTTTGTGCTTGCTTCAGGTTGCATTACGCTTTGTGTCTTGGCGCACTTTGATCACATTTTTCATTTTTTTCAATTGTGTCATGCAAAACACTTATTCTCCAATACATGTGAAAATGTGTTAATATCAATAACATATGTGTGTAATTAATGCTATTCTCCCATGTTTATCTCTTATTTGGCGGTCAGATTTGGCCTTTAAGGACCGCCAACATCTGTGCTCCACTCCTGCACACCAACACAACCAAGAGATATGTTGCCCACACACTCACGGTAGAGTTAGTCTCAAACTCAACTGAATCTTGGTCATCTCCTTAAAATCACTCATCACAACTCAACACATATGGCACATATCAACCATGTGTTCACGAAAACAAATTATAACACTATCGCTACAAAGCGATCCAATGTCAATGGTACCTGCTCTGAGGGACAAGACACTCCGATCGTGCCATCCTAGCTCACCATCTCTATGCAAAACTTGCTCACCAAGCCCCTTTTCAGCTTATGTGGTTTAGTTTAGCTCTCGTGTTTTCCTCTTATCTCGATGCCCTTATAAACACAAAGCTGAAGCTACTGCAGACCTTAATATCATGAAAGACTTAGGAGAACAACTACTGCAACAAGAGTCTTAGGCGAAAATGAAAATTGAAAAGATAGCTGGTTAGGGCAGCCTCCTATGTATATTACACATTCCCAAGAAGACATTAGATATTTTGGCAGAACCACTTAACCCCAGGGAAAAATGATCCAACTTGATCGATGCATCTGACGGCCACCAGCTCTTCATGATTTATTGCTTCGTCAGGACGCAAGCTTCCCGATGACGCCACACTGCCTACTCCAAGTCCATCCCGAAATCCAACCGTATTTTGAGGCCCAAACATGAAAAGCGTCTACCAGTGGTTTTCAGGCCCAAACTACCAAAACCCTCTAGAGAAGTGAATCCGCTACGCCTGCTTCACGGTCTTGACGTGTGTCACCATTTGTTCTCGACCGCCTGATCAGCAAGTCATCCAACGTCTTTTGTTTGACTTGGTCAACATACATGATCTACTCCTCCATGTATACAGCTGCTTGTCGATGTCCCCATGTGTCAGCCACCCATGGTCACTCTTTCCGGCTACCTTGGTCCGTCAGTCAAAGCCTCATGTCCGTCCTTCACCGCTCTTAGTCCATTGGCATGGCATGTCTCTACTTGATCTTCTCCATGGCCGTCGATAGTCTCTTTGCTCCACACTGGCACACCAACATAGCCAAGAGACATGTTGCCCACACACTCACGCCAGGTTTAGTTTCAAACTCAAGTGAAGCCTAATCATCTCCTGAAAATTACTCATCACAACTCGACACATATGGGCGCTAGCCGTTGGGCCAGGGATTTTAGTGCTGGGTGGTGGCTCTAACTGGGACTAATGCTCCCATTAGTCCCGGGCTCAACTATGGCCGGGACTATAGGTAAAAACTGAAGGTCTGTTCTCTCTTAGTGCCACCTCATCTTAACTCTTGTGTGTTACAATATAATAGTACAAATGAGTAACATGCAGCACTTCCTCTCTTGGTTCTTATTTACATGTCGTATTAGTTTTGTCCTAAGTCAAATATTTGTATCTTTGATTATCAATTTCAAAAAATTATATAAGTTTACGACATAAGACATGTTTTTAGATTCACTCTAAGAAACACTTTCATAATATATAATTCATTATATTGTGAAACTATATAGATTCTATGAAATAAATGATAGAAAATAGTAACGTTTGACCTGGGACAAAGCTTTCTAATATGACTTGTAAAAAAGTACGGAGGAAGTATCATGACTGAACAGTGGCAACCGAACCACTAACGTTTGTTAAGAAAACAAATTAAAACACTATCACTACGAAGCGATCCAATGTCAACGGTACCAGCTGCTGCGAGGGACAACACAGCTCACCGTCTCGATGCAACTTGCTCACCAAGCTCCTTTCAGCTTCTGTGGTTTAGTTTAGCTCTCGTGTTTTGTTCTTATCCCAAAGACCTTACAAACGACAAAGCTGAAATCCTCTTTGAGATGGCGACATAAAAACTACCATTCGGTGTGATGGCATCTAGCTCTCAGCGCTACATAACCAGCTGCTAGTTAGGTTCTGTGCGTACGACGCAGCAGCGCGTGGCACGCAGCTATCAACCGCAAGAAGCGCTGCCGAGCCTTCCGGTCGTCTGACTGAGCGCCATGGCCACCGCGCACGTTTTCCTCTGCCTCGTCGCCGTCGTGCTTGCTGCGGCGGCAGCAGCCTCCCCAGCTCACAATCAGCATTCGCAATGCCTCGGCAACCCGCCGGACCTGTCCCGGCGTGGCGGCGAGTCTGGCGAGGTCGTCGGCGACCTACCAGGGGGCTTCAGAGCCTACGTCACTGGCCCGGCCATGTCCAGCCGCGCCGTCGTTCTCGCCTCCGACGTCTTCGGTTAGTGCACAGATCCAACTATCATCACGCAAGCTACCTTTGATTGTTTTTGGCCGTGGTTTTTGACAGCTAGCTTCTTTGTTTTCTTTCACTGGTTTCTTCAGGGTTTGAGGCGCCTATACTCAGGTATACAAACATACCTTGGTCTCAACCTTCACTTCCATAGTTCCATTCCTAGATTTTAATTAAGCTCCTTCTTGTTACTCTTATAATCTTTCACTTCTGCTTCAAAACCAACAGAAATTTTTTGTTAAGCTGGTTATATACTTGAAGAATTCAAGGGCTCAAATTGGCTCATGGTTAGAATTCTTGGGAAGAACACTGTATTTAGGTCAATTTTTTTTGATAAAGTATTTAGGTCAAATGTATACCGTGGTTAAAAAAATTGGCTTTATTGTCAGTCTTGAAAAAGAAAGAAAGAAGAAGGAAAGAAAATGCTCTGTTCTTTGTCAACAAGAGCATCTTCAGTTTTATTAACAACTGAGCATGCACTCAGCCAACTTGCTTTATAGGAGTATATTTTTGTTAGCTAGTACTACTTGTTTATTGAGCGGATTGCTGACTGTTGGAGTCCTAAAATAGCGACATTATAATGAACTTTCACCACTTAATCCATAAAGGTTATGCAAAGGCGCGCATATACGAAGAGTACTAGGCGACATAATAAAAACCATAAATATTGGAACACATCTTCAGACGGCAAACTGTCGGTTCCTGCATAAAATTGAAGAATTTTAGTTGAATGCTCAAGTGTTTCCTTTATTTTACAGGTTCACTGGAATTATCATAATATTTCTAGATAACAATTGCATTATGAGCTAATAATATTCTGTGGACAAAAGAAGCAGTCCAGTAGGTGCGAATAGTCTTGTGCAATTTCGGCCATTCCCTGATGAACGAATTTCTCACCGAAATGGACGAGCAGCCACGGAATAATACTGCATTTAGGTAAATACCGTGGTTAATAAGTACTCTATTGTTAGTCCCAATAAAAGAAGGAAAGAAGAAGGATAAAAGAAACAGTAGGCTATGTTCTCGGTCAACAAGAGCATCTTCAGTTTTAAGGGACTTCAAGTAAACAACTGAGTGTCCAGAACTACACTGTTAGATAACTGCTACCTTCTGTGAACACAGAAGGGAAAGGCGGCGCCGACAAGGCCCCTGGCTGTGATACTGTAGGCGCTGTAGGCGTCGAACTGCTCATCTGCAGCACTGTAGGCACATGCATTGGTCAGCGCAGAGTCAGCCTTATATGTTATCTAGTCACTGTTGCAACATGTGCGCTGTACTAGGACTAGATGGATAGAGTTGTATAAATAGACTACCACGGCAACTCAGTAAAGAGAGCTCAGATTTGCCATATCACAGACAGGGCTTCAGCCAACGCTGGTGTCTTGTATTGTGCGTGCATGCTCTGTTTTCCCTTCTTTTTCTAGATCTAGCCATAGTGTGCGGGGACGGACAACGCTTGTTCGTGGTCGGCACGGCTAGTGGGTGCTCGGCAACACTAGCGGATGCTCAGCAAGACTGGTGAGTGGTTAACTCACCTGAGCCGGTGATCCTGTGGGCCAACAAGTGGTATCAGAGCGACACAAGCATCGTCGCCAGACTAACCGCTGGCGATGACGGGCGGTTCGGAGATGGGCGACAGCAGTGGCACTGCTGTGGCTGCCCAGCCACGACCGGAGGTCGTTGTTCGCACGGTGCGGGAGGTCAGCGGTACCAGTTGGCCGACGCTGACTCGCACCAACTATGGAGAGTGGTCGGTGACCATGAAGGTCAATCTCAGAGCCCGACGACTCTGGAATGCTGTTGACAAGGGCACCGACATTGAAGAAGATGACATGTCAGCGTTGGAGGTTGTCCTCGTTGCTATACCGGCAGAGTATAGGGAGCCGTTGGGGGCGAAGAGCTCTGCTAAGGAGGCGTGGGAGACTATTATGGCGATGCGCGTCGGTTCCGACCGCGCAAAGAATGCGACGGCCCAGCTTCTGAAGCAGGAGTACGCCAACCTCAAGTTCAAGGATGGTGAAACGGTGGAGGACTTCTCCCTCCGCCTGCAGACGCTCATCGGCAAGCTGAAGAGCCATGGCGTCACCATCGACGAAGAGGAAGCGGTCTTCAAATACCTCCACTCTGTGCCGGCAAAGTACATCCAGATCGCTCTCCATAGAGACGATGCTGGACTTGTCCACCCTCACCATTGAGGATGTGACAGGCCATCTGCGAGCGGTGGACGAGCGCCTAGAGCAGGCGACAGCAACGAAGGAGGTAACTGCGAGAAACTCCTGCTGACGGAAGAGGAGTGGGTTGCTTGGAGCAACTCCGGGAAGGCAGCCTCCTCCAGCCGCGGTGGCGATGGCAAGCGCCGCGGTAAGGCTTCTTCGGAGAAAAAGCAGGTCGACCCCAACGCCTGCCGGCGTTGCGGGAAGATGGGCCATTGGGCATGAGAGTGCCCAAACCGCAAGCAGGAAAAGAAGGCTTAGGCTCATTTGGCGCAAGCCGATGATGAGGATGAGGCCACTATCCTGATGGCGACGTTCTGTGCACTGCATGATGTCGAGGCCGAGGAGAGGGAAGAGGTGACGATGGTGGAAGGACCTAGGAAGGCCCTGAAGACTATCAACCTCGATGAACCACGCACCCAAGTTCACCTCGGACGCGTGGGCGCCAACCAGGAGCAGCAGTGGTATCTGGACTCTGGTGCCAGTAACCACATGACGGGCTCCAAGGCATCCTTCTCCGATCTCGACGGCGATGTTATCGGTACGATGAAGTTTGGTGACGGCTCAAGGGTGACTATCCAAGGGCGCGGCACCATTATCTTTAGATGCCAGAACGGGGAGCACCGCGCACTAACAGATGTATATTACACCCCGCAGCTGCGTTCCAGTATCAGCAGCCTTGGTCAGCTGGATGAGCGTGGTAGCGAGGTACTGATCAAGGACGGAGTCCTTAGGATCAGGGACCGGGAGCAGCGACTTCTCGCCAAGGTGAAGAGGTCTCTGAACTAGTTGTACCTGCTTGACCTGAAGGTAGAGCAGCCAGTGTGCCTAGCGGCAAGGCACTCCAAGGAACCATGGATGTGGCATGCCCAATTCGGACATCTCAGCTTCGACGTGCTTGGTTGGCTAGAGAAGATGGTCCGAGGGCTACCCCACATCAAGCACGAAGGCAAGCTGTGCGACAACTGCCTGGCCGGGAAGCAGAGGAGGCTACCTTTCCCAAAGGCGACCAAGTATCGCGCGAAAGATGCTCTCGAGCTCGTTCACGGTGACCTCTGCGGGCCGATCATGCCTGCTACAAACGGTGGTCGGCGGTACTTCCTCCTGCTTGTGGATGATTGCAGTCGCTACATGTGGCTGCAACTCCTAATGGGCAAGGACGAAGCGGCGGCGGCGATCAAGAAGTTCAAGACGCACACGGAGGCCGAAAGCGGCAAGAAGCTCCGCGTGCTGAGAATGAATCGCGGCAAAGAATTCACTTCGGTGGTGTTTGCTACGTACTGCGCGGATCAGGATGTGGGGCAACACCACACCGTGCCGTACTCGCCACAATAGAATGGCGTGGTGGAGAGACGGAACCAGACGGTGGTCGGCATGGCCTGATCCATGATGAAGGCCAAAGGCATGCCGGCAAGGTTCTAGGGTGAGGCAGTGACCACGGCGGTGTTCATCCTCAACCGATCTCCGACCAAGGCCCTAACCGGCAAGACGCCGTTCGAAGCTTGGTATGGGCGCAAGCCGAGCATGTCCTTCCTCCGAACATTCGGCTGCATCGGCCACGTTAGGAAGACAAAGCCGCACCTCACCAAGCTAGAGGACAGGAGCACACCCATGGTGTTCCTGGCTATGCGAAGGGTACCAAGGCGTACCGGCTCTACGACCCACGAGGAGACAAGGTGCTTGTCTCGAATGACGTCGTGTACGACGAGGAGGCGGCTTGGGACTGGAGCAGTCCGAGCACGGGGGAAGCTGGCAGCTTCACCAACACCTTCATTGTCGAGCACTTGGTCATCCACGGTGGTGGAGATGCTGGGGAAGAGGTGCCAAGCACTCTGGGAGGAGTGCTGAGCACTCCAGCGGTAGAGCCGAGCACTCCTGGGGTAGTGTTGAGCACTTCGGAAGGGATGCCAAGCACTCCGGGAGGAGTGCCGAGCACTCCTGGAGGGATGCCAAGCACGCCAGGAGTGGTGCCAGGAGGTTCTGCAGTGGTGGCGACCACTCCAGGACAGGTGCCGAGCACTCCCGCGGCAGAGCCAAGACGTCTTACAGTGCTGTCAACCACCCCAAGACTGAGGCAGGACACTCCTACAGTGTGGTCGAACACTACAGGAGTTATGACGAGCTGTCCAGAAGTAGCGCCGAGCACTCCAGGTGTTGTGCCAAGCACTCCGGTGGAACAGGGAACTTCATCGACGTCGATCGAGTTCACCTCACCTCCCGGTGATATCATTGAGTTCATAGACGCCTTCCACGAAGGTGAGGAGGTGTGGTTCCACAGGCTGGACGACATCGTCGGCGGCAAAGGTCCCTCAGGTCAAGCGGGTAGGCTGCTCAACGACGCAGAGCTACTACTCGTCAGTGCAGAGGAGCCACCCACGTTCATGCTAGCCGAGCGCGATGGAAACTAGCGACTGGCGATGCTGGAGGAGATGAAGGTGATCGAGGAAAATGAGACTTGGTAGCTCATCAATCCAGCTCTAGGATGCCATCCGATCAGCCTAAAGTGGGTGTACAAGGTCAAGCGGGACGAGCTCAGCGCCATTGTCAAGCACAAGGCGTGTCTCATCGCGCGAGGCTTTGTTCAACGCGAGGGCATAGACTTCGAGGAGGTCTTTGTGCCAGTAGCATGCATGGAGTCGATCCATTTGCTACTTGCTTTGGCAGCAGCAAAGGACTGGCACGTTCATCACTTGGACGTTAAATCGGCCGTCCTCAACGGCGAGCTGGCGGAGACGGTCTTCATTAGGCAACCTCTAGGTTTCACTGTCAAGGGAGAGGAGCATAGGGTGCTCCGACTGCGCAAAGCGCTCTATGGGCTGTGGTAGGCCCCTCGAGCATGGAACACCAAGCTTGACGCAACGCTGGGCGAGCTTGGGTTCCAAAGGTGTGCAACCGAGCATG